TGGGGGACTCCACTAGATACAGGTCTCCAGTGAGACTCCATCCCATTCACCACAACTCTCTGGCTTCTGTTCTCCAGCCAGTTCCCAATCCATCATTGTCAAGACTCTAGAGCCAGTGGATGGGAGGTTTTTTCACTTAGTGGTAGGGTATGTTTTCTAAAATGTGAAGTCGATGTACAGATGTTGACACCTGGATTTGAAGGACCATGGAACTGAAATGAATGAACTGGCAGTACTTTTGCAGTAGCACGGAAACTAACAAATGGGGAGCTTTCATCCTGACATAACATCCGCTAAGAGTTGACCTGGTTGATTTCTTTCCCACGCGTGTATGTTTCAGCTCACTGAAGATGTAGTGAACCGAATGAAAGAATCTCCTCAAAGTAAAAGGGACAACCAGAGGTCTCCCCGTTCATCCAGTGGCACAGCTCCGTCTTCCCCCGCTGCAGAAGGGAAACCCAAATCTCCTACAGGTACTGTCAGCCCCGCTGGGGTCTGCTGGCTGCTGTGGCACCCCTTCCAGCAGCACTGCCGCTGGATGTTACGTGGTGTGCCTGTATCTTCTCCAGAGTACCTTGTTGTGAGAGGAGCTCTTTCACTAGCCTGAAACACTTTTGGTAGCCGTGTCACCTGGCGATTGGAGAAGCTGAAATGCTGTGGTTCTAGATCTGTCACTGTGTGACCTTAAGTAGGATAATTTGTTTTTCTAGATTCTTTCTTTCTCCATCTTTGGAATACTGCCTTCCCCAGATCCTTTAATGAACTCTTATCTCTTTGTGAATGTTTCTAGGATTTCAGATGAACGTGTAGTAGGCAAGGCAGAAATTTTTTCCTTGATCTTTCATTCCTGGCAAGCTGACTTGTCTCCTTTCTGTGTACAGGGAGTATATTTTGGATGGGTGGAGGAAATACTGCTTTTTGTTCTTTGGAAATAAGCTCATAGGGAAGGATAGACTGACTAAGCACAGCTTGCCATGTGGATGGTGAGAACTTTATTTCTGAACTTATCTTTCTTTACAGGTCAGGAAACTATTTGTTTTCTCTTGGTTCTCAAATATACTTTGTTGATGTATGTTATCAGTGTCGATTTGTTTAAGGCATCCAGACTAACATGAAGTTAGGGAACCAGGCCTTTGCTGTTAGAGATTTGTTTGCTGTTAGCCCACATCTTTCCTGAAAGTGGATTCAGCCTTATGGATGGCCTAGACTCCATCAGATAATTTAATCTCCGCTTGTGGGATCCCTTGTAATTGCCAGGAACACCAGGATTAAGACTTAATGGAACTACAGGAAGGAAATGGAAAGCAGGATTAAATATATGCTTATGCTTCAGTATAAACCAGGAGTCTGAGGTGTTAATGTCCTTACATAGAAGTTTCTGGAGCGTGCCTTGTTCAGTGTAACTTGTTGAAGACGATGCTGTCGGTGTCTCTGATTTATGAATTCAAACTCCATTCACAGACTCTCAGTTTTCTTGAGACTTTTCTAGTTGTATTGGGTTTTTCTCACTTGATAAGCTAACACTCACGTATGAAATACTCTCCTCTTCTCAAATAACTTATGATGTGATGAAGGACTCTGTTTTGTGTTAGAGTTGTCACAGGTTTCTGTTCTTCTTTCTAGGAATCCAGCCGCCAACAGCAAGCGACTCTGGTCAGAAGTCTTCTGCTGCAGAGCAGGAACTGTACAGGAGGTGAGGTGACGTTCCTGAAAAAAAGACAACAGGTTTAGCTCTTTTTGGACTATATATATATGTTTGTATGTTTTACTTCAGTCTGAGTGCAATGACTGTGTTTTAATGCCTGAGAATAACACTTCATGTTAATCTCTTTGTTTGCATGTGGAATTTCTAAGGCTTGAGTTGGACAAAATTTTCCTTCGTGGCAATCTGAGATTCAGGTGTCCAGGCTATCGACCTGACAAGGCCACCTCTCAGTGCTGTGGCTGCATGCATTTTGTGTGATTTTCTTTCCCTTGTAGAGCAGAAGAGCAGCATTGTCAGATAGGCTAGCTCCTTTTATTGCTGTACATCCCTTGATCTTTTCCAAAGCAGTGTTTATTTATCTAGCTAACTACTTTCTTATTCTCACTGTTTTCAGGTGATAATTACAGTACGAATAGACCTAAACATAACTGAAATATAAGCTTATATGGTGTAAGCCTGCTGCTGTCGCCAGAGCTGTACCTCACTGAAGCTGGAGGTCATGTTTAAAC